CAAATAAATAACAAAAATAAATAAATAAAATACAATATAATAAATGAATAAATAAGTAAAAATAAATAAGTCTACACATGCACACAAGGCTCATTATGCGTCATTTTGAAACGAGGGAATCAACTTCTATGAACATCTTCAGAAACATGATTATCATAGTGCACTATAGCCGATTGAACACTCGGGTTACTAACATCAGCAAAACAAACGCAATAAATTCTAATGTAAGTCAGAATCGGAACGATACTTTTATAATGTGCTGAGTTCCGTGCGGTGCGGGTGATTCGAATCGGTCCTTGAACTTTTATTCTGGGAGGTATTCTTCACCGTCCACCTTCTTGATTTTGGTGCTATTGGAGATGGACGTATCAAATAGAGTATACCCTGTCTTTTTCAGGACCACCCAGTGTCCTTTTTTTACACTAAAGAATGAAAATCGGTATTACATTTATGCCCACTTCCCCATGTGCCGATTTCTTCCAAGAGTGGTGACAGCAATAGGTTTTTTGAGATTATCAACCTTGGAGGGCAACCCAACTCTAACTGCCCATCTAGGCCTATAGTAACTTCCTTGAATTTCGTCATGTATACATTCCCGGGGCACGATCAAAATCTAACACAACAAACCACAGTCAAAGTGTCAAAGAGCCTGGTTTGAGGCAGACTGGTACGGTCGAACAATCAAACAGACAGGTGTGGTCAAAATCTGACCTCTGACCCAACAATCACCAGTCAAGTAGACTGGCATATCAAGTATACTGATATAGAACAATCAAGTAGACTGAAGGTAATGCATGGAAACCAGGACTAGTTTTGGCAAGGCTGGCAAGGGCAAGCACGCTCCTGCACCAGTGCATGTCCCGTTCAGTACAGTGCAGTACAGTAACTGACTGTACATCGGGTCAGGTGAACCGTCGGTTCTCCCTGCGAGCGCCTCTGGCTGGCAGAGACCAGCAGACATACCGTGCACGTTTTGCTCCACTTACGTCACGCCAAAGTGGGGTCAAGGTTCTCCAAGATGACGTCAGAGCAAACCGGTCTCGGCGTAAACAAACAAAGCTACTCGTAGACGCAGGAATGGATGGATCGAGAAACATTCCGAGGCTGAGTCAAGGGACGCTACAGCCGAGGGGAACAGCGAACATCGATGCCGAGAAAGGGGGAAGCAGTGGTAGTGATGAATGCGCACAGAGAGCACGGTTTAAACCGCCAGGACCGAGATCTATGGTCTAATTTATTTAATGTTTTCTGCGTTCTACGTCAGCTGCCGTCATCGGGGTTACTTGCGGCTACACTACACACAGTCAGTTGCCTACACCGGGGCCTTTTTACTTTTGGCGAACAGCCTGGTCTTGGTTTGGCTGAAAGAGAACTCCTCAGCCTCAACCTCAACCCATCATGTTCTTCCGCAGTAGTCTTTCGTCTCAAGATCTAATTCTTCCAGAAACAAGGAAACGGAGTGGCTTCTCCTCAGTCCAGGCTGAGGCATCTTGTAGATCTCAATTCTTCTCTCCTCTCCACCCATCTTCTTATGCCTTAAGCGAGAAATTTGGCGTCATCTCCATTACGCTTTTCGTCGCTTTCTCCTGTCTTACGTAAATTCTATCTATGCGTCATTTTCTTCGTTGGGGGTCTGGATACAACGGCTATCAGAATGACGATGCAAGTAGGTCGTTTGGCAAAGCTGACCAAAGAGCACTCAGTGAGGGTCAGCTGCTGAACAGTAGGATAGGGTCGGGGTGTGTGTGTG